GGAGCTGGATAAGTGCGACGAACGACAACAGTTCGAAGGTGACTTGAAGTAGAAGGTTGTGAAATAGAGTGATCACTCTCAGACCTTTCTCCTAATGATCTGTCACTCCCACTAATCAAGTCATTCTCAAGAAATTTTGCATTTCTTGACTCCACAATCCGTGTAACGTGAGATGGACAATAAAATCTGTATCCCTTAGACTTTTCGGCATATCCAATGAAATAGCCACTAATGGTCCTCGGGTCTAACTTCTTCTCTTGTGGGTTATAAACTCTTACTTCAGACGGACATCCCCAAACGCGTACATGTCGCAAACTCGGTTTTCAACCTTTAAACAACTCGAAAGGTGTCTTTGAGACAGCCTTGGTTGGAACTCGGTTTAATATGTACACCGCCGTTTTAAGAGCTTCATTCCACAAGGACTTAGGAAGTTTTGAGTATGATACTCCCACTAATCAAGTCATTCTCAAGAAATTTTGCATTTCTTGACTCCACAATCCGTGTAACGTGAGATGGACAATAAAATCTGTATCCCTTAGACTTTTCGGCATATCCAATGAAATAGCCACTAATGGTCCTCGGGTCTAACTTCTTCTCTTGTGGGTTATAAACTCTTACTTCAGACGGACATCCCCAAACGCGTACATGTCGCAAACTCGGTTTCCAACCTTTAAACAACTCAAAAGGTGTCTTTGAGACAACCTTGGTTGGAACTCGGTTTAATATGTACACCGCCGTTTTAAGAGCTTCATTCCACAAGGACTTAGGAAGTTTTGAGTATGATAACATACTCCGCACCATGTCCAATAATGTTCGGTTTCTCCTTTCTGCTACACCATTCTGGCTCGGAGAACCAGGTGTGGTATATTGGGCAACAATCCCATGTTCAGCAAGAAACTTCGCAAAAGGACCGGGTGCTTGTCCATTTTCAGTATAGTGCCATGAAAGATGAGATGGATTCGATGGCATCGAATGAAGTCTGGGATCTTGTCGAGTTGCCTAATGGTGTAACAGCCATTGGTTGTAAATGGGTCTTCAAAACCAAGAAAGACTCATTGGGCAACATCGAAAGATATAAAGCAAGACTCGTAGCCAAAGGATTCACTCAGAAAGAAGGAATCGATTATAAGGAGACTTTTTCTCCTGTATCAAAGAAAGATTCTTTTCGTGTGATCATGGCATTAGTTGCCCATTTTGATATGGATTTACATCAAATGGATGTGAAAACGGCGTTCCTCAATGGTGAACTGGAGGAAGAGGTTTACATGAAACAACCTGAAGGATTTTCCTCTAGTAGTGGTGAGCATTTGGTTTGCAAACTTAAGAGATCCATATATGGATTGAAACAAGCTTCCCGTCAATGGTATTTAAAGTTTCATGGTGTCATTTCTTCATTTGGCTTTGAAGAAAATACCATGGATAACTGCATATACCAGAAGGTCAGTGGGAGTAAGATTTGTTTCCTTATTCTATATGTGGATGACATTTTACTTGCAACCAATGACAAGGGGTTGTTGTATGAGGTGAAACAATTTCTCTCTAAGAATTTTGACATGAAGGATATGGGTGAGGCATCTTATGTCATCGACATTAAGATTCATTGAGATAGATCTAGATGTATTCTAGGTTTGTCTCAGGAGACCTATATCAATAAAGTCTTGGAGAGGTTTCGGATGAAAGATTGTTCACCGAGTCCAGCACCTATTGTGAAGGGTGATAGGTTCAATTTGAATCAATGCCCGAAAAATGAGCTCGAACGGGAACAAATGAAGAACATTCCATATGCTTCTGCAGTTGGAAGCCTTATGTATGCTCAGGTTTGCACAAGACCTGACATTGCATTTGTCGTGGGAATGTTAGGGAGATATCAGAGTAATCCAGGTTTGGACCACTGGAAAGCTGCAAAGAAGGTGATGAGGTACCTACAAGGTACGAGGGATCACATGCTTATGTATAGACGGACGAACGATTTAGAGGTCACTGGTTACTCAGATTCAGACTTTGCTGGCTGTGTTGACTCGCGTAAGTCAACATCTGGATATGTATTTATACTTGCCGGTGGAGCTGTATCATGGAGGAGTGGCAAGCAGACATTGACCGCTACTTCCACTATGGAAGCTGAGTTCGTTTCATGTTTCGAGGCAACGTCGCATGGTGTATGGTTGAAGAGTTTCATATCCGAGCTTAGAATTGTGGATTCTATTGCTAGGCCATTGAGATTATATTGTGATAATTCAGCTGTTGTCTTCATGGCTAAGAACAATAAGAGTGGAAGTTGGATAAACACATCGACATCAAGTACTTAACCATAAGAGAACGTGTTGCGGAAAAGAAAGTGGTCATTGAACACATTAGCACTGAATTGATGATTGTCGATCCTCTGACTAAGGGCATGCCAATTAAGAACTTCAGGGATCATGTTATGAGTATGGGACTTGGTTCCATGATGTGATTATGTCACTTGTACGTACGTTTATGTATTAACGAAACTCTTATTCAGTTGTGAGTATCTTTTATATGATGAAGTGTACACTATATTTTATATTTAAAAGACTCACTCATTTGGACCTAGAATAAGCATAAGGCTTATTCATTAAGCGTGTGTTATCATATAAAGTTTGAAGAGACATTATATATTGTAATACATGAAAGATAATACTCGTACTAAGAGGACTTATCGCCATGATTCATATATTGTGTTTCTTATACAGATAATCGACACATTAAGAGAAATATATAGACCAAGTGGGAGAATGTTGGAAGTTTTTATTAACTTCCCATTATGTTAATGGTCTAACATTTCCTCCATATTGTGTTAACTGCATGATAATCACCCCAATAGCAGTTTTCTGATGGAGAAAAAACAATAAATAGGGGTAACGTATTTGGTCCCTAAGCCAAGCAAAACAGATAGAAATACACCATCAGTATTGTATTGCTAAAGGTTTAGAAGCACCAAATATTCAGATTTCAACTCAACCATTTTCAATGGCTGGAGGTATGTTTTTCCGATTCAGAATTTATTTCCGCATACATGATCTGATGTATTAAAATTTTTTACATAGAAGATCATGATTTAAGATGAGTTTAAAGTATTTTTTAAACTTACAGTATGGACTCTACATTGACAATGACAGTATCCAAGATTGCGTCGCGGTCAAGGCATGCATCATGTGTTTGAATCTCCCCAAAACTATTAACCTGCAACAATCAACAATGGTTTATTGTTACTATTGTGCATGTGTATATGTGTGTGTATAAGGTGATCAAGAAAAATTAACATGAGAAAGTTAGAAGGTATTAAATTTGGTTTTATGGGGAACAAACACATGAAATTAATAATAATCTTTATTACATGCGTATGAGTTGGTTTGAATAAATAAAACTAATTTTAGTAGTATTAGGTGCAACATTACTAATAACAATAGCAATGACTATATATATATATATATGCTCGTGTGTGTGTAACGAGAAGGTTAATGTATTTTTTTTTATAACGGTGGGAATCCGTCATACGGTCCTTCGGCCGGACCCCGACCGCCCCAATCCTCAGACCGGACAGTCGGTATGCTGACAGTAAACCCCCCGACTCTACGCAATAGCCGACAAACCATGCAGAGCAGGTAAAACAATCGAAGCTGACCGGTTTAAAGGAAACTCAGCCTCGACTGGTTAAGGTTAATGTATTTGGTAGGTGAATAGTGAAAACAAACGAGGGCTTCTACTTGAAGTGGTGCGAATTCGGAGAGACATGAACCTCATCATCAACAAAAGTTACATCTCTCCCGATGGTGATTGGTTCATGGATGGTCCGTACTTACCCAAACCCATTCTTTCATTTAACTTCAAAACTATATACACACACACCCCATTGAACATTCATCATATGATATTTGCGCAGTTTTCCACGTGAAAGACGAACATGGCAATAAAGTCACTGACCAAAGGGTCATCAAGCAAGGTTAGCCCAATCAAACACTATTTACATTCGATTCGAATTTACTCATCACAAGAAGGAACGATTGAAATTTAAAAATAAAAAAAACTTAGGCCATTGGTACAGGTAGGAGAAAATCATCAAGCCCTACTATCGTAGAGGCCAAGAATACGAACAATGCGAACATTTCATTGGAATCGCCAAAAAAAACAGGAGGGTTGAATTACTCGAATTTATTCTTATTATATGGTGATTTTTTTTTTCACACGTGCACGAGCGACGTGAAATAAAAGCTAAAGGTGAAGACCTGTTACCACACGACTTTTCCCAAATGGTTCATCGTCTCCTCGAATGACCCCCCACTTGCATTTGCAAGTTGCATATTTGGGCTTCATCATTCATCATAATTGAAGTCATAACGATATATATATATATATATAATCTATTGTTTCTGAATTTTAAAATATTATTTTCAGATTTTCTTTTTTTTTTACACATTCTTTATCAATTTAATTAAAATTAGTTTCATGAGTAAACACTTGCCAGTTGCCAATGCCACATGACGAATTTAAGGTGAATGAAGTTTATTTAGGTTCAGTCCCCTTGTGTGCTAAGAACACGCCCTTATTATTTTTTCAATATATTATCTCACAAAGTAAAAATATACATGAAAAGATGATGATGATGATGATGATGATGATGATAATAATAATAATAACAATAATAATAATAATAGGAATCTACCTAGATTCGAGCATTTGTTCTTTTTTCACAGACACGAACAAATAATTAAATTAATATTTTATTTTTTTGGAAAAGGATTAAATTCATTATTGTTGGTAATTTCAATATATATTGGGTTTGAAATAATTCACAAAAGAATAGGCCTACCAAGTTGGACCCTTTTGGTGCTATAAAAGGAATGGATTCGATGGTTCTTCCTCATCAATACAAAACAGCTCTTCATTATTCAATCTTGACAAGGAGCAGCCATGAAGCCATCTCCTTGCATTTTGAAAACCCTAATAACGATATTGGGATGCATTGTTGTCCTCGCGCCTCTGTCTGATGCTCAGCTGACTCCTTCTTTCTACGACAAGACCTGTCCGAAGGTGTTCGATGTCGTAAGCGATACCATCGTCGACGCCTTGAGGTCCGACCCTCGCATCGCTGCTAGTATCCTTCGTCTTCACTTCCACGACTGCTTTGTCCAAGTAAGATTTTTCGCAACTTAATATTATTTATTTATATATATTGAACTTGTTCTTATGCTTCACTATATATATCAATCGTTTTCCATATATATATGCGTACGTAGAAGTGTGGACGGACCAACTTGTGGAAAAACGTCGACGTTATATTAATTTAAAGCTATATATATATATATAGTCCCATCATGTTAATAGGGTTCATTGTATTTGGCTTTGAAAGAAAATAAATCCATGCGAAAGTTGAAAGCACTGTTCAATATCGATAAGTTATCCACCGACATGGAATTTACATGTCGGAATTGGTGTTATGAACACATTATATAACATGGCTATATATATATATATATATTTGGTTTGTATTTCTACAGGGTTGCGATGCGTCGATTCTGTTAGACAACACGACGTCGTTCAGGACGGAGAAAGATGCGTTTGGAAACGCGAATTCGGCGCGCGGATTCGACGTGATCGATAGGATGAAAGCTGCCGTCGAGAGACAATGTCCAAGAGTTGTCTCTTGTGCCGATATGCTCACCATCGCTGCCCAAAAATCTGTCGAATTGGTACGCAATTTCGACATGATCATGCGCCTGTTATCATTTATCAGAACAATGTTTTAGGAAATCAAATTATATATGCAAAAAAATATCCCGTATCAATGGAAAATGTTATGATTGGAGGTGGATATTAAGAAAAAAGGTACAACGGAATATAATATATGATGGATTATATAGAAACTCTAATTATAGAAATATTATACTAGTGTATTTATTCCACTGAACAAAAAATCATTTTATTTAGTCCGGAGGTCCTTCGTGGAAAGTTCAACTGGGAAGAAGAGACAGTCTGCAGGGATTTTTGGAGCTTGCGAACGCTCGGCTCCCGGCTCCATTCTTCACTCTCCAACAGCTCAGAGACAGTTTCAGAAACGTCGGACTCGATCGCCCTTCTGATCTCGTCGCTCTCTCTGGTAATTTATTGTCATGTTCTTTTCTTTCTTTTTTTTTAATTATGTATACAAATTATATATTTTGTCGTGTTACATGCAATCGTATCTTGCTAATAATTTGTTCTTTTTTCCTATTAAAAAACATGGGTTATTTTTTGTCTAAATAATTCTTTAAACCATGTTGAAAATAATTGTATTAATATTTACAATTTTTTTCCTTTTCGTTCCTAAAATACATTCCTTTTTTCCTTTTCGTTCTTAAAATTTAATTAAGTGCATTTAAATGTGGTTTCGGTCAAGCATGTTATTTTGGACCTTGGGCACTTTAAAAAAATATATTTGTAACATTCATTGGATGAAAAAAACATTCTTTTAACTTTTAAAAACTACACCACAAATAGTAAAATCCCTCATTAATCAAATCTAAAACAGATAATTAATACTAAATTTTTTTCAATATATTTTGGTCGGATTGGATAATTTCAGTTATCCCTTAATAATTCTGACAATCATATAGTAAATTTGTGATATAAATCGATCATTTGAATTCGAAAATAAAGATAATAAGTTCTCTTTCTTGGTTAGGTGGTCACACATTCGGCAAAAACCAATGCAGATTCATTATGGACCGACTCTACAACTTCAGCAACACTGGCCAGCCCGATCCGACCCTCGACATATCTTACCTCGCCACTCTTCGCCAGCAGTGCCCTCAGAACGGTAACCTGAGCGCCCTCGTCGATTTCGATTTCAAAACCCCGACCATTTTCGACAACAAGTACTATCAAAACCTCAGGGTCGAAAAGGGTCTGATCCAAAGCGATCAAGAACTCTTTTCTTCGCCCGACGCGACCGATACGACTGTTCCTCTCGTGAACTTATACAGCAGCGACCGGACCGCGTTTTTCAATGCGTTCATCGAGGCAATGACGAGGATGGGAAACATTACGCCTCTCACGGGCAGTCAAGGCGAGATCAGGTTGAACTGTAGGGTTGTGAATCCGAGACGTGTGGACATCATCGATAATGTGATTGAGATGGTGACTTCTGTGTAAGAATATGTTTGGTTCATAATATTATATATGCAAAGATATAATAAACTTGTTGGTGGAATATGTATTTTGGGTTTGATTAATAAAGTTGGTCAATGTTATAAGATATTTCTACTCTTTTTCCCCTGTTTTACTATCAATCGTGAGTATATGTATCATTTATATTTATAATTTCTAAATTAATAAATTAACTTACAATATCTAATATTACAATTAACTTTTTTTATAATAGAGAATCAGAGAAATCCAGATGAATATTCATTCCTACCATTAAAATTTGAATTCGAAATAAAATCTCCTACCACTAAGCTATCTATTCTTAGATACTCCAGCTGTTTCATTTGAAATGACGTGTTAGAACAAATTTTTTGTTTTAAAATAAATAACGTTTTCATATTTTCAATGTACTTTTTAATATTTTTTTCAAATTTATCCTTATTTAATAATATTTAAATATTCAACCAATGATAATTATCTATACAATAAATAAATGTATTTTGGATAAACAGTATTTTTTTTAATTTGTGTGTAGAATTTTTAAACGTCATGTAAAATAAAACGGATGAAGTATATTACAATTAAAACTAATTTTATAACTGTTTTATTTGTTATATAAAGTGATTAATTAAATATAACAACATAATTTTACTTCCATTTTTTTGAAATTATTTATGTAGGCGGTAATCGTTTCGTTTTTATTTTGATATTGCACTTCATTAAAGTTTCGTTTTATTTTTACTTTCGTTTTATGTAAACGCTACAAAAGTTTATGACATAGAGGTGGTTACCATAAAAATTAAATTGACATACAAATCAAATGGATATCCTTTTTTAATCGGAAAACTTGGATTCAAACCCAACCGAATTGAATATAAAAATAATTGAAAAACAAAATGAATCTAACTTTTTGAAATGAATTTTTTTATTAAAAAATGAATTGAAATAAAAGTTGAATCAAACCTAACGGAACCCAAAAAATACTAAGTTCCAAAACCTCTGTCCCCATTTTCTTGTACTTATCGAATAATGGCTAAACTATCCATAAATGACCGAAGGAATATGTTGAACTAATCCATAATATATCTTGATATTTGATTAGATCATATGCTCCGACCATTAATTATTTAAATTAAACGTTACTCTCTCCATTTCAAAATATTTATTGTTTTAGATTATTTCATATTTTTTAAGAAAATAGATCAAAAATCATATATACCTTTATTTGATGATAAAAATAATACAATCATTAGTAATATATTGGAATTTGGTATGGATAAAATTGAAAACTATTATAAAAAAAATATTTTGAAAATATAAAACTATGAATATTTTAAAACATAGAAAATAAACTAAAACGTACAACTTCGACAGTGTATTAATAACTTCGGAAACTTTGAATTCCAAAGATAAGATTAAAAAGGTGTAAAGGTCATCAAATGTTACAACTACCATATATGTGTCGGTGGCCATGGAACGCGTGTCGTGCACAAGTTCATTCTCGTTTCTTGTCCAAAAATTAATTTCGATGACCATTAATTGTAGTCAATTTATTACACGTGTGATGTGGCGATGCTTTATGAGTGGTTCGGTCGCTTTCTTGCGGGTCATTCATGAACCTGTAACGTCACAAGGACAACGCTTTGTTCATGATTCCCGTGTATAGACTTTCCATCTAACATCATTTAATTGGACATTTGGTCGTGCCACGCAGGGGGTGCGCAAACCGTTAGATTATTTGAAAACAAATCAAATCCGACCGATATATATCTAAACCAAAACAAAACGATTTAAATAAACGTTTGATTATGATTTTTTAAAATCTGAAATAACCGAATCTGAAATAACAGTAAACCGAATTAATCGTACCGAATAAATCGAATATAACCGTTTACCCATCTTTGTATCATTAATTGATATACAATATATGTTAAATATATTGATTTATAACCATGGTATATAACAAATTGAGATATACATTTATTCTAATTTAATCATTATTTTATTATTTTTTTAATTTATTTCATCATTAATTTATTATTTATGAACAATTGAAAATGCTAAAATTTATTTAAATTTTTTATTTTGTAATTTTATGTTGAAAAAAATTAAGAGATAAATCTAGATTTGTTATTTTATATATTAAGATCATGATAATCTTTTATATTATAACTTTTGTTTAAATATTTTTTTAATTATAAATATTTCAAAATATTTTTTAATATTATAATCAGACCGAACCAAATCGGTTATAATTCGATTATAATTTTAAATATATAAAATCGAACGGAATAAAATTTAATATCCGTTTGATTATAAATTTTTAAAATCCGAAATATCTGAATCCGAATTCAACTATGACCGGTTAACCTAAACCGAACCGTTTGCGAAAGTCTCACGTATACTGTCTTTCATGATTAAAAAAAAATGATTATTTATCCGTTTGTTCAACCATTATCTCAGCCATTTTCTAAAATTTCCGTTCCTTCTTCCACTTGGGTCTTAAGACCCGCTAAAACTGGATCTACCCTTTGAAATATCGAAAGAATATTTCCTTTTTTTTTATAAACCACGTCCCATGCACGCGTCTTGTATTTGATCCTGCTGCCCTAATGGTGTCGTTTTTTTATAAATAAATATAAAAAAAACTATTAAACCATGAAAACGACCACGTTCTAGGTCTTCTAATTATTTTGGTTCACATGATTTTTTTTATTTGGTTAAGCTGATGTAAATTTGTTTTCTTAGAGGATAATGTATTGCTATATTTCATAAATAAATAAATAAAGATTTATGGCACGACGAAACACGAAATCTGGAAAGCGAATAGACAAAACCATATCTTTTTTTACCAACAAAATCCAATATTCACGAAAACTACCTACCATAAATTTATGTCCCCTTTTTATTGTACTTGTAAAACTTATAGTTAAACTATCCATAAATATCTCGATACTTGATTTGACCATATGCCCCGACCATTAATTATGTTATTTAATGGCTATTAAGTTAATAACAACTTGTAGGACTCACGACTTTTCAAATACTAACTAATCCTGAACGATTAACATATATAATCTTATTACGTAAAAATCGGATGAGTAAGATCATACGAATATAGTTTTTGTGAAATTGAAAAATCTTAATCCAAAATATTCGATATAGAAATAGCAGAAAGCCAATCAAAATAAATTTTTTAAAAACAATCAATTCTTTTAATTCGATCGAATAAAAAAAAACCGTATCGAACCCGAATAAATATATTAAATTTTTTTTATAAAAATTTGAATCTAAAAATAAATAAATTCTCTAACAATATGAATAATATATTACTTTTAAGAATTTTGAATTCCAAATAAAAGGTGTAACACGATTCTAATATTTCTTATCCAAAGATCAAAATTAGGTCGACCGCTACTATAGCCAATTTAACTACACGTAAATGCGACAAGTAACGTTTTCGTCGTTTTCTTGTTGGACATCCATGAACCCGTAACTCTTGTAAGGACAATACTTAGTTCATGATTCTCGTGGATAGATTTTCATCTAACAACAATTAATTAAACTGACATATGATATATGTAGCAGCAAACAACGACGAAGAAATTGAATATATATATATATATATATATATATATATAGTTACTGATTTCCGAGATTACAAAAAATTATAATTTATTAGTTTATGGACACAGCATTTAATGGTTCTTGTCTAACAAGCAACAAAATTTTCTATCTTTTTACATTTGATAACATCCCGTATAATAATGCATGTGTTTAGAATAGATTAATAATTGACATTCATGAAAAAAACAAAGAGAATGGAATAATACAATATATTGATTATATCTGAACTAAAACAAATAAGCATGGTTTTTTTTTTTGTAAAACAAATTAGAATCAAAACACAAAAAAAGATATGAAAATTTAATGTTATAGATTTTACAAAATTAAAATAACTGAAACCTAAATACCAACAAAACCCAAATTATGCAGGAATCACCTACCGCCTCCCCCAAAACCCGCTAAAATGGACCAAATCTTGAAATATTGAATCTATTTCCTATTTTTTTTATTATAAATATTTTCATAATCTCAGGTTTGACAAAATGCCCAAACCGTGGCTATTTTTCTAATCAAATTAAATATATTAAACGGCTTGTTTAATTAACACAAGAGTGTTTTCAATGCTCAACACCGTTCATGGGAAGTGTGACGTTGTTAAAGCCGTAGGTTTTATAAACTTCGTTATGAGTTTTAGAGTTTAGGAGACAATGATCTAAACGACGTCGTTTCGGCCGACGTGACCAATTCTTACAAAACGATCCGCCAAGTCAACACAATAGACAAAAAAAACACACACGACTTTGTTAAAAAAGACTTCATCAAGATTTTAGAGTCAAATTAAAAAAATCATTAGAAAAAACACATTTAAAGTTTTGATGAGTGAAAATAGGATTTTCAAGTCCCGTAGACAGATTTTCTTCTTAAATTTGGGGTTTTAGGGTCACAGAAACAAATATATGGGGTAAATACAATATTCTCGGTCCAATTTCTTTAGTCAAATATCTTATTTTTCTAATAAGTTTCACTCCGTTAAATCAGGATATGGGAAATAAACTTTGTACAAGTCAATAACTTCAAAAAATCATTAAAAATATATTTTTATCCTCTAATATCTGCTGATACTCGTTCGGTGGAAAATATTAATTAATCCTAAATCAATAAAAGAATTATGGATACGTTTATTTTGTCCATCCTAGTATTTTTTTTAGTGAAAATAATATTTTCCTAAGCAAATTTTAATTTGACAAATGTCTACACCAAATTAATAAATTTTCCAAATCGATACACAAATTATCCAATTTAGTGCAATTAACTACACAATCTAAAATTATCCATTAACTGCTGACGTGGAAGATCATGCGGCGGCTGACGTGGCATACCACGTAGAATTTTTTGCCATGTCAGTATGAATTTAAAAAAAATAAAAAAAAATAAATCAAATTACTTGTTCTTTAGCAATAACAGAATTATTTTACGGAAAATACTTTCCACCCACATACGTGAAAATGAACCCAAGTGTGGTGGTCTAGTGGATTGTATAAAGTGATTCCAATTCAGGTTCAAATCTCATTGGAGGCAAATCTTATAAAAAAAATATAGAGAAAAAAATGAATTAAATTACTTGTTCTTTAGCAACATATTATCCAATTATTATTTCTAAATTTTTTTCTGACATTATCATTCATTCCATCTTTCTTTAATTTATATTCACATTTTTTTAACAAACTAATTCAACGTGAAATAGTTGAATAAGATACAATGTTAAGAGAATAGAATGGAAAAATGTAATAAGTAAAGGAAGTAATATACGTCTTCATAGTTTTCCTCATAACTCCATAGTCATGAGATCCATTATTTTACGGAAAATACTTTCCACCCACATACGTTTTTACTTCTTACATATCCATACCCATATTTTCAAATGGAGCTAACAAACCCACCATCGCTCTCAACACCCCGCAATTGCGGATTCACCACCCTACAATTCCTTCTAATCTCTCCTTGATTTCCCGTGAGCGGTGTAATATTCCCCATCCTTATCATTGATTCCACGAAAGCTTGGAAGAACGCAGATGAATTACTGCTATATAATTCTACTAGCTGTATTGTATCGGCTCCGGGAGTAGAGAAGAGTTCTTGATCGCTTTGAATGAGTCCCTTTCCGACTCTGAGGTTAGAGTAATACTGCTTGTCGAAGGCATCCGGGGTCACGAGATCGAAATTCACGAGGGCGCTCTGGTTTCCGTTCTGAGGGCATAGTAGTCGAAGTTCATCACGGTAAGTCGAGTTAAGGGTAGGGTCTGGTAGACCGGTGTTGTTGAAGTTGTAGAGTCGGTCCATTATGAATCGGCATTGAGCTCTGCCGAATGTGTGACCACCTACGGAAATGGGACATTACCAAAGAGTAAGTGTAACGTACGTATTATAACGTTTCGAGACATTAACAAATGCATGCAACAATGGAAAAGCATTGATCTTTAGGGTTTGAATATAAGTTTATTTTTATAATCATGCTTACTAGGACTTTCCTCTTTGACCAAGATTTCGTAATCATTGATTTTGAGAAATCGATTTTGTTCAGTAGTGAAATATTCGTCGGATGATTCCATAGCGATTATAACCACTATAGATTTTCTCTCCAGTCAATAATAAAATATAACGCACGTAATACTTGGTCATACATTTCAGACAAAACATTCGTATATCTTTAATACGAAAAACCAACATCAACATGTCATAAACATTCAAGGTTAATGCGTATATATCTATATATATGTGTGTGTACACATGTGTATAACTCTTTGAGCAATTTAATTCAATCTAAACAAAACTTACCGGAAAGAGCGACAAGATCCGAGGTACGGTTGAGACCAACGGCCGCAAAACTGGCTTTAAGCTGATCAAGAGTGAAGAACGGGGCGGGAAGAGCAGTATTCGCAAGATCGAAGAAAGCTCGCAAACTGTCTCTTCTTCCCAACGGAACCGGCCACCATGGACCTCCCGACTACGACTCACGAAAACATAACAAAAATAACAATCATTTAGTATATATTTTCATCCCTAATCTTTTATTATTGATAATGTCAACTGAACTGATTCCTTGTCAAATTTAACAATGGCGTAAAGATATCACGTTATGAGACATATGATATAGTGGTACGTATATATATATACCAAAAGAACGGATATTTGAGAGGCGATGGTGAGGACATCGGCGCAAGAAACGGTTTGCGGGCAAGCTTGCTCGACCTCGGACTTCATTCTGTCGATGACGTTGAAACCTCGGGCCGAATTTGCGTTCGGGGCAGCGTCTTTCTCGGTCCGGAACGAGGTTGAGTTGTCTAATAATATCGATGCATCACAACCCTATAGATCATTGCAGTAATTGATGAATAAATATTTATCAGTATCCTTCGCTTTTGCTAATAAAAGTGATATATATATATATATAATTGTTTGAGAATCTTCACGTATGTCTCCAATGTCTTTTTAAAACTTATATATAAAATTTTATTTGGTCTGTCTTCATATATATATAGAGACAACAGTAGTATGAAGATGCATGGCCCATTATTTTGGTTATTTTCGGGTCGATTTTTTTCGTTATTAGATCATATTTTTCAACATGAAAGAAACCATATATATATATATATAATAAATCTTACGGCAACAAAGCAGTCGTGGAAGTGAAGGCGAAGGATACTGGCGGCAATGCGGGGATCGGTCTGCAACTCGTCAACGATGACATTCCCAATGATGTCAAAGACTCTGGGGCAGGTCCCGGCATAGAAGTCAGGCCTCAGCTGAGCGCTAGCAAAATATGAACATCCATGGAGGAGAAGAAGGCAAACCAGAATTAGGGTTTCGAAAGTGAAAGAGGAAGAAGAAGGCAAAGCCATTTTTGGAAGAGTTAGAGAGAGAGAGAAGATGGATGAGATCAAGCAAGAGGAAGAGCCCTTATTATATAGGGAGGAGTGAGGCCATGCATTTATTTCCTCTATAATATATGAGCCATGTGCGAATTATTCTCATTTTTTTTAACGATATACTTAGATTTTAGCAAAAATCTTTTGTATCGTTTTGATGATTTTGTAGAAAGGTGACTAGTTATATATATACTTCGGATATATAAAATTAAATCCAACCAAATCCAATAAAAAAAACTGTTATGAGTTTTATAAAAATTAAATTATTTGAAATAAATCAAAATAGAAATAATTAAATGAAAAAGTTGTTTCAAAGTAATCATTTTTTTTAATAGAAACGAATGTGAACCTAAAAGAATTCGAATCGAAACAACAATCTATATATGACAATCAATTTTTTATAATAAAAATATCAAACTTTGAAATAACTGAGCAAAAAATATAATAAGATTAGAAAAAGCCCACCTCTACTCATCGTTCATCTATGATAAAATTGAAAGCAGAGGCATTGTAGAACAATTTAGATAACGACAAACATTAGGTCTAATTAGTATTATTTTTACATAAAAATAGACAGGGTAGGTTGTTTTATACTGATACAGGAAAATGTAAACAAAAAGATTAGGTGAGAGATTTTAAATCAATATAACCATTACTCAACCAAAGAAACTTTTAAAAGTATTCATATTATTAAAAACTATATCATCATAATCATATTATTGACCATCATATTTTTTTTGTAAAAAGAAAAACAATAAATTTTCAAATTCAATAAAAAAAAATCATTATAAAGTGTAAAATACTCGGTCACTATTATCGATAATTAAAAGAATATAAAAGACAATCTATGCGGAAAATTCCAACTTGAGGATAATCACTAAGCATTTGTAGTTCAATATTTTCTAATTATAACATGCCTGTGGACAATGGTGGAACGTAAACAGATGAAATTAACAATTAAACATCCATTGATCGAATTTTAAGAAAATGTCTTTATCCGAATAATAAAAAAAGCGTATGAAATCTCTCTCATCACATCCTGACCAGACAGCATTGAGACAGCAACAAAACTGACCAACGAACCTAAGCAGCACCCTTGCCCTTCTTCTTCTGGATCTTCTTCATGTAGAACTCCAACTCTTTACCCTCCAAAATGTATCTGCAATGGCCATAAACAATGTTTTAAAGGAGAATCCAGAGAGCGAGGGAGAGAAAGAGAGAGAGAGGTACCCATCTGCACGGCCGCACTGGCCAGGCCTCGAGGAGATGCAAGCGAGTAAACGACCACTCGTGAATTGGTCCTCGATGTGTGGGTCAAGAGATCTGTTCGATTGACGCTTCTCCAGCTTCCTCAAAACATGGTTGCTCTTCTTTGTCTCCTCGGGAGCAGCAGCAGCATCTTCACCTTCCTAAAGTTACACCCAAATCAAAATGGTTAAACTAAATTTCCAATTCATCTATCACAAAGTCTAGACCTTTTCATAATCCTACCGACATTACATTCGTATGGATAGGATAAATATACCCAATAAAACACGAAACAGATAAAAACCCATCGTTATATTAAGCAAGAACAGGACTCACATCTCCTTCTTTCTTGCCAGAAGTAGCCGAGGTCTTCTTTTTGCGGCCAACCTCCACCCCATAGTGACTGAGGTACCATTGCTTGAAAGGTGCAGCATCGACCTGAACGATAGCGCTCTTGACAAGAGTCTTGGTACGAACAAGCTCATTGTTAGAGGCATTGTACACGACGTCGAGGATCCTGGTCTTACGAGTTACAGCCTCGCTTCCCCATGAGTAATTCCCTGTGTCGAGTCTCAATGCCCGCCATTTCACGTTTCCTCCACGAACCCTAACCCTCCTAACGGTTTTGTTGCTAGAAAGTTTGGTGTTTGCGGCAACTCTTCCCATCTCGTACCTTACATGACAAGAAACACGTTATATATGACCCAATTGCTTAGAGTTCAAAAGCAAAGATACAGACATTGACGGTTTTACAAGAAAAATCAATGATCATGAGCACTCGGAGACAGAAATCTACTGGGGAATCTAATACATCAGAGAATAGCTGATACTTCAACGGTACCAATGGCATCAATGGCAATAGCTTTTGAAAAACAGAGGATCTAACAATGTTCGTATGTCGGGCCCAAGCAACATCTACGAATTCAATACTACCTCAGTTTCTACGCTTCTGAACCAGCTTTTACGCACAGAGAATCGTAGAAACTCCAACAAAAAACCCAGATACGAAACGAAAAGAGATCTGAAGATAGAGGAAAAAACTCACTTTCGCTTCTTCCTCCATTGCTTCTGCTTCCCACCAGTAGCACGCCTCTTGTGAATCGAATCACGAGAGATACCTAACACATACCAGATTCGATCTCAGCTTCCACAACGAAACAAGAAAAGAAAGATACAAATTCCAGTGAATGAAAAACGGAGAAGAATTTTGGGGCATACCCATCGCGGCTACGGAAGAGTTCTTAGCTTCTTTCTCCCTGTAGACACCCGAGTTTCCCTGTTAAGAGAGACCGAAGAGAGTTTGCAGATGAATCTTTAAGAGAGAAAAACCCTAGTAGACACAATTACGAAATTATCCTTGAAAATATGGGCTGAAGATTAAAGTTAGGCCCATCATGTTTGGGCCGACAATTGAAAAATATCCTGGATTGGGCTAGTTATTATTCTAAGCTGGTTGATAAAATTCCTCTAAATTAACTATATTATATTTTAAATCGATTTATTTCATAATGATAAAAAAAAATCGAATTAATTTAAAATATGATTAAACTGGTTTGCTCCGATTTATTTTGGCCGAGTTTATAACTTTTATCTATATTTTTATCTTTCTTATCTAATTTCAATTAATTATTCATCTACAATAGAAAACAAATTATTTAGATGAAAACCGTGTTAGGGTGATTTATATATATATCATCTCAAGCTTATTGCGGTTTGCAAATGTGTGTCGCAATCAGTTTGTGTCATGTTAAAAACAATCACTTGACAAATTGCGTTTGTGCCCCTTTAAAAAAGTGAAAGCAAAAATTATGGATAAATTTAAAAAAAGATAAATATATATTTAAAAAGTGAATATTAAATCGAAGAATATATAACTATATATAAACAAGTTTAGTAAATAAATTGTATATGTATTTTTTAAATTCAAATAATCTAACAATTATAAATCTAAATAATTAACAATTTAATTAAAATATAAACTTTTAACTTATTATTTTTTTTAAAATTTGAATATTAATTTTATCTAAACGAAGCATAACTTAAATTAAAATTTATTAAAAATAGATGTTTTTACTAAACAATCTTTTTCAAAAAAAATAAGGTTAACCTTACATAGCCACGCCCACGCTTGAGGTCATACATACATCCTTCAAATTTTATTTAATTTTATAAGCTTCGGCGACTTCGTCATAAACCCTAAACCTCTGTTCCTGAGCAGAAATCTGAGAGGGAAATGCTTGCCATAGCAGCGAGAGAACTTTCGCCATCAAAGCTTAAACCTTTCTTCACTATCTCTCACGTCTTCTTACAATCGCCCAGAATCAGAGGAACAAACTCTTCGATTTCAAGATTTTTCTCTCCGTTTCTCCATCACCCTCACTGGAACAAGACACCGGAATCGCCATCATTCTCGGCGTCTTGCTTCTGTTCCTCTTCGACTTCTTCTTCTTCCTCTTCCTCCTCTGATTTTTTGCCCCTAACCCGTGATGGGAATTACGACGATGCCACTCCGGTCACCGCCGTTTGTCCCGGTTGCGGCATCCACGTGCAGGACTCCGACCCGAAGCACCCGGGTTTCTACATCAGACCCTCCATGAAGAAGCAGAAGAGCGATCTGAATCGGATTCTCAAATCGAATCGTCATCTCGTGCCCGTTTCGCAGGAGACCGAGTTCACCGATTCGATCAAACGCGGGTTGATTGTTGAACCCAGAATCGTTGACCCGGATTCGAAAGAGGAAGCGGAGCCGGAGAGCGCAGATGGGAGACCAGTGGTGTGCGCGAGGTGTCATTCGCTGAGGCATTACGGGAAAGTGAAGGACCCGACGGTGGAGAATCTTCTTCCCGATTTCGATTTCGACCACACCGTCGGACGGCGACTCGGGTCGCCTTCCGGTGCGCGAACCGTCGTGCTTATGGTAGTGGACGCGTCGGATTTCGACGGATCGTTCCCCAAGAGGGTCGCGAAGCTCGTGTCGAGAACAATCGACGAGAATCAAACGGCGTGGAAGGAGGGCAAATCCGGGAACATCCCCAGAGTCGTTCTCGTGGTGACGAAGATCGATCTTTTGCCGAGTTCGTTGTCACCGACTCGATTCGAACATTGGGTCAGGCAGAGAGCTCGTGAGGGAGGGCTAAGTAAGATCGCTAAGCTGCATTTCGTTAGCCCTGTGAAGAATTGGGGAATCAAGGATCTTGTGGAAGATGTAGCCCAGATGGCGGGAAAGAGGGGCCATGTCTGGGCTGTCGGAGCTCAGAACGCTGGAAAAAGCACTCTGATCAATGCTGTCGGGAAGGCTGTGGGCGGGAAAGTGACGCATTTGACGGAGGCTCCGGTTCCAGGCACGACATTGGGGATCATCAGAGTTGAGGGTGTTTTGCCGTTTCAGGCGAAGCTGTTTGATTCTCCGGGGCTGTTGAATCCGCATCAGATCACGACAAGGCTCACGAGGGAGGAACAGAAGCTTGTTTATGTTAGCAAGGAACTAAAGCCAAGAACTTACAGAATCAAGGTTGGTGACTTATCATTTCGGTACTCTCTTTTGATCTCTTTTGCCAGATCTAAGCTGGAATCTTGAGCTGAGACAAAACTGTTTACGATTAAGTGATACTTGCAAAAGTGCCTTATGTTACTATGAGCTGGATTCTGATTATATGGTTCATGTGAAGTGAAAAATAGCCCTTTATTAGTTGATATAACTTCTGGATCCTTGTTCTCGAAGTTGAGATCCGGTTTTATACATTACCAGTTGTGTTTTGATGGACATTGACCTTTCCTGTCGTTGGTTTGGGCTTCTTGTATCTCCTTAGTTCAATGTATGTTCTAAGAGATCAAAGTTTGATGAATTTCGGTTCTTGTTGAAGTTTTGGTATGGTTTAGAATCGAGTCTTAACTCCTGGCTCGACGGAGTATGGGCTCTTTCGGTCGGTTTGTTCACTCAAAATGTTTGATAGTCCTGTCATGTGGCCGATTGTCACATGGTCATGTTTCAATTTTTTCACAGGAAGGTTACACCATCCACATTGGTGGGCTCATGAGACTTGACATTGATGAACTTTCCGTAGATTCCGTATATGTAACGGTATGGGCATCTTCCTATATTCCGCTACATATGGGGAAGAAGGAAAATGCTCACAAGATTCTCCAGGACCATTTCGGTCTCCAGTTGCAGGTAAAGATCTGCTCTTTCTTGATCATTTAATCTAAGCTCTCATTATCTCTGTTCCATTCCAGTTGAAGATGCAGACTTCGAATGCAAATATTGCAAACCGAAAACATAAACCTCTACCAAGACTACCGGTTTTTTTTCTCTGAAAAAACTGTTGGAAAAAACATGGGTTTAAATGATGAAATAAGGTTCTAATGGTTTATATGTTTGGCTCGTTGATGAAGCCTCCCATAGGACAAAACCGGGTTCAGGAGCTGGGAAAATGGGTGAGGAAGGAATTCCGGGTGAAGGGGGACAATTGGGACGCCAGTTCAGTAGACATTGCTGCTTCGGGACTAGGGTGGTTTGCCATTGGACTCAAAGGCGAAGCGATACTAAGCGCTTGGACCTACGAAGGGATCGACCTCTTCGTGCGAAACTCTCTTCTTCCACAACGCTCTCAGACTTTCGAAGATTCGGGTTTCACTGTCTCGAAGGTTGTTGCAAAGGCAGATCAGTCTTTGATTCAGATGCAGAAGGAAACACAGAAGAAACAGAGGCAGAATGATGGTAATAACCCCGAGCCAAGGAGCAGTTCTAATTCTTTTACGGCGCCATCTATGACGTGCTAATATCGGAAATGGCCCCCCGCTGGATGGCGTTTTCGTAAAATGTGGCTTGTATTTCCGGAGGCCATTGCTCAAGAAAAGTGGTAACGTGCTTTGTGTTTGATTAAGAATAAGACGTTTCGGGTTTTAAAAGCACACTTGGAGATTGAACCAGAAATGAGAACCCTTATGTTTTATGTGTATCTGTATTCCTAATTTGATTGTTTGGTAATTTTATGATATCTCAATCTTTGAGGTAACAAACTTATTTCAACCACATGAACAGTTTCTTGTTGGTTATGGTTCAGCAATATTGGCAGAAATCTAGCTCGGGTAGTAATCAGTCTTGGAGAACTCCAAGAACTCGACCTCGACCGTCAACTTATCGCCCACGATGTAACCTTTCGAGGAATCGTTCAGATCCGGGAAAGACACGAACTGCGGAAACCCCCAACCTCGTCCAGGTGTGTCGGACCAGCTATCCGCTGTCAAAAAATAGATTAGGGTTACAGATGTTACGATAACTTTCTCAAGTACGAAGATTATACGCTTTGACTTAAGAAAACGTCTATAGCCGCATTACATTGCTTTTCCGCATGCCCAGGGCTGGTTTTGCGTTGGTCGAGAATTCGCAGCTTGGCTCCAAGATACGCCTTCACATTAGGCTCCGTGTTATTAGCCACAATGTGCAGAGATAATGAATTGCCCCTCCCGGCGCCATCGCCATCGCCATTGGGATATATTTTCAAGTACCTGAAAAATGTAAGCACTCTTTTTGGTACCGGCAGGGCGAGTGAAGATAGAAACACGTGGAAAAGACTCGTATTGAATCAGAGTGTTAGGTCTCTCTCTCGTTATGAGGTGGTGTGTCACGAAAACGAAGAGTTGAAATATTTACAGTTGTTATTAATCAGGTTTTGATACCATTTTGAGCGTTCAAAAATGGATTTGAGAGAAATTTTGTGTGTTGTATTAGTGAATTATTAGAAAATATATATATATTTTTTAATAGAAATCGAATCGAACTTAATTGGATTAAACGGAATTTATACTAATTGATTAAAAACGAAAGATGGATCAATAACACGTTTTCAATATTATGTCTAATGGTTATCATATGTAAACGTTCGATGGCTCAATAGCCTCGGTCTCTGGGGTTTGAATGAAAATTATTTCCGTATCAAATGATAGACTGAATCAACATAATGGAGCCAAATCACCTACAAATGATTTGATTGTAATTCAAATTGATTCTGTAACCCTTAATTGTAGTAACTGTATCGTGTTTATAAACACACTCAACAACGACAATAAGCAAGGCATTACGTTTGCATTTATGTTTCCTTATATGGTATCAGAGCACCAAAACTCGTCCAACGACGACGTTTCCCTGTCATCTTCCTCTTCTTCCCAACCTCTGTCAAACCCTGTCGACTGATCTCTTCAAATCATGTCTTCCTCTACCCCTGAAACCAGTCACCCTACCAACAGCAACACGTCTGCTCCTGCTGGCCTTCCCAGTGACACCGTCACTGCTTAAGATCCGACAAATCCCAGCTCGACGTTAATTAACGTCAACGTTTCCAATGTCACCAAACTGACGGAAACAAACTACATCACTTGGAATGTACAGATCAAGGCCTTACTTCAGGGTTATAATCTGGATCGCTTTCTCGACTCTGCTCAAACACCATCAGCAACGCTGATCACCAACAATGTCAGCTCCCCCAATCCTGAGTACCAGATCTGGTTTCGTCAAGACAGGTTAATCTTCTCAGCTCTTCTTGGTTCTATCTCCAGTTCTTGCCAAGCACTCGTCGCCTCTGCTCCTTCCTCAGCTGCTATCTGGATAAGCCTTGCCAATACTTACGGCAGAAGCAGTCGCGGACATCTGAAACAAATAAAAGACCAGATGAGGCGCTTCACCAAAGGACAACGATCAATTAACGATTACATGAAGTTTTTCAAAGTCAAATCTGATGAGCTTGCACTTCTAGGCAAGCCAATGGATCATGAAGATCTACTGGATCTTATCCTTGCTGGCCTTGATGACACATACAAATCTGTCAAAGACATTGTCCAGGCAAAAGACAATCCTATATCTTTCATTGAACTTCATGAAAAGCTACTTAGCCATGAAGTCGACGTCCTGTCAGATATATCTGTGATTGAAACACCAATCACTGCAAATGCCACTCAGCAAAAATCCAGAACTCCATGGCGCAACAACTTTCGGTCGCAGCCTGATCACTGCCAACCTCGCCCTTCAAATACCTCCAACCGAGGTTATCAGGGCAAATGTCAGCTTTGCGGGATACAAGGCCACAGTGCACGATTCTGCAGGCTCCTCAAGCAAGGACAATTCTCCAACAACACCTCCCCTGCTTCGGGGAACTCTAATTGGCAACATTCGGCTCCTCAGGCAAATCTATCGACTGCAGGCTCTCAACTCTGGTTTCGTGATTCATTAGGGGTGAGCGTTTCGGTTCGGTTCTTCGGAACCGGACCGAACCGAATCGAAAAAACGGTATTTTTCCCGATCCAAAATCGTTCTCAATTTTCTGAACGGTGTTATTTTTAGAGAACCGAATTTTTACGAAACCGAATCGAACCGAACCGAACTTTAAAAAATCCCGAAAAACCGAATATTTTTAAAGAAAATCTATTTTTTTTACTAAAACCCGGAACCGAACCGAACCGAATACAACATAAAAAACGATTGGTACCTATTTTGTAAAACCGAAAAAACCGAACCGATCCATTCTCTTTCCGAACCCGAACCGTTTTCCGAAACGCCCACCCCTAGTCTAAATGTGTAAAATTTAATACGGCGGTTCATAATTTAACGCCATTTAAGATATATCGTTGATCGAATCGTGGTCACAAAACCAAAGTATCATGTTTAACTTGTTTTTTCTAATGTAATAAAGCTTCTAAACTCAAGATCACATTAAAGAGGCAGAAATCGGGGCGTTGTTAAATAGCAAACAGATTTGAGCTCCCTTGTGTATGACAGAGAAACCTTCTTCTTGTACTCTAATGGCTTTCGTACACTTACTTGAAGTCTTAACCCTAGCATCAGTTATTTCCCTTCTCATATTTCGTTTCTTGTTCAACAAGTTAACGCTCATCAACTGGCCTCTCCTCGGGATGCTTCCCAGTTTGCTCGTCCAAATCCATCGTATCTGGGACTGGAGCGTCGAGGTTCTTGAGGCTGCCGACTCGACGTTTCTTTTCAAGGGTCCTTGTCTTGTCGGAACAGATACGTTGGTAACAGTTGACCCGGCTAATATTCACCACGTTCTGAGTTCGAACTTTAGCAATTACACCAAAGGGTCCGAGCAAAAGGAGAATTTCGATGGCTTGGGAGACGGTATACTCAACGCCGAGTCTGAGCTGTGGAAGAACCTGAGGACGTCGGCTCAAAAGATGATCCTCCATGAAAGGTTTCAGAGGGTTTTTTTTTACCACCAACATGAGTAAGCTCGAAGAAGGACTTCTTCCTATTCTGGATCACGTCGCAAAGGAAAACGTCGTTATCGATTTGCAGGATGTATTTCAAAGGTTCACTTCGGACACGACCTTCATTTTGGTAACGGGGCATGATCCTCAGTCGCTCTCTATTGAAATTCCGGAGCTTGAGTTTTGTAAAGCTTTGGAAGTGGCTGCAGAGGCGGCCTTCTATAGATGTATAAAACCGAGAATCTTGTGGAAACTGCAGAACTGGATCGGCCTCGGGATAGAGAAGAGGATGAGACGAGCTACTGCCATTTTCGATTCTTTATGTGAAGAGTACATATCAGCTAAAATAGCGGAGATAAGGCTCGGAATGCTTTCCAAAGTAGACGATGCCGAGGATTTGTTGACGTCTTACATAAATTTAGATACGACCAAACACAATATCTCGAACCCGAGTGATCGCAAGTTCCTCAAAGACAACATTTTGAGTTTCTTAACGGCCGGGACAGACACCACAAGCTTAGCACTCACATGGTTCTTCTGGCTGCTTTCCAAGAACCCTGAAGTAGTGACCAAGATTCGCCACGAGATCAACACAAACCTACCAAGAATCAAAACTCGTGACATGAGTTCAAACAATCTCGCAAACTTAAAGAAGTTGGTGTATTTGAACGGCGCCTTGTGCGAAGCACTCAGGCTCTATCCCCCGATCCCCTTTCTAAAGAGGAGTCCTACGAAACCAGATGTGCTCCCGAGCGGGCACAGAGTTGGCGCGAATTCGAAGATTCTGATATCCGTTTACGCGCTGGGGAGAATGAAATCGGTATGGGGAGAGGACGCGTTGGATTTCAAGCCCGAGCGATGGATTTCCGAGAGCGGAGGTGCGAAACACGAGCCTTCTTTCAAGTTCTTGCCCTTTAACGCCGGTCCGAGAACTTGTCTGGGAAAGCAGGTGGCGCTTACACAGATGAAGATGGTGGCTGCGGAGATAATACAAAACTACGACATTGAAGTCGTCCAAGGGCACCGAGTCGAACCGGTTCCCTCTGTTATTCTGCATATGAAGCATGGTTTAAGGGTCTTAATTAGTAAGAGATCATCCTCAGCCTAAAGCCGCTTTTAGAAACACTCTCTATTGTGATTGTTATTATCCAAGATTTAGATTGATTTGTTTACAAATCGATCAAAATCTAAGATATGATTATATCTCTATTTACTACATTTGTTGCCATCTTTTAGGATTTGTTTCTATATTCAGATGTATTTAAATATGTAATATTGGTTGAATACGAATTACTAAGAAATTTCATTAGTCCAATAAGCTGTATAACTTAATATGGTATCATGGCTATCATTTGGACGCCCTAGGCGAAATAAAAGTTTGTTTCATCTCAGTTTTTGTAAGCTCTCTTTAAGATGTATTTTATGCACCAAAAAAATGGATGTCCGTGAATTAAAATCTCTGCCGTGATTATTTTTTGTATAATCCGAAAATTTCTCGGGCTTTTGACCCAATTACGTTTTAGTGTCTCATAAAAAACGAAAAAACTCAGATAAAAGCGCCTACTCGAGGAAAGATTCGAAAACAGATTTGAGTTACCCAATCTTGGATGTCATGCCATGGTTACTGTTCTTATCAAAACCAAACCATCTAACATGAAAACAACGTTTGCCCCTTCTAGATGTCCTTGATTATAACCATAAGAGTCGAAAGAGATGTACAGACAAGAGTTAGAAAAAGGACCTAATTCTTATCAGAAACAAGAATGTATTATGTATCTATATTCATGCATTTAATTTGGTTGGACCAAACGGTACTAGTGGGGGCGGCAGGAATACGACACAATAATTGAATCACCGATATCCATCACCATCAGTTTGACGGGGGGAGAGAGAGAGACAGCTTGTTGACTTGGTAGACTTGGTAAGTATGGAAATCGATTTGGTCTTAAATCCAAAACCCTTTAACAGAAACCTCACTCTGTGCAGATTTACTTATTAGATGGATATCGATGATACGTTGATTACGGTGGCTGAAGACGAGAGTTTGAACATGGCAGCTCAAGGCGAGGATCATATCAACGAAAGATTGAAAACAGCTGCTCAAAACGGAGATATCGAGAAATTCTACCATCTGCTCGATGAGGATCCCAACATCTTGGAGAGGTTTGATCGAGATCCCTTCTGCGAGACGCCACTACACATTGCTGTCCGAAGCGGGCAAACTCATTTCGCCATGGAAATAACGAGCTTGAAGCCCTCGCTGGCGTGGAAGCTGAACAAGTCAGGGTTCAGCCCCATGCATTTGGCTTTGCAAAGTGGATGTCTTCGGATTGTGAGAGGGCTTATGGCCATCGACAAAGACTTGGTTAGGATCAGAGGGAGAGGAAGGATTACCCCTTTTCATTACGTAGCTCAGACCGGCGATAGCCAACTGTTGGGCGAATTTTTGCTTGCTTCCCCTTCTTCTATAGAAGATTTGACGATTAAGTGCGAGACCGCTGTGCATATTGCCGTGAAAAACCACAAGTCCGTGGCATTTAAGGTTCTTTTGGGATGGCTCAAGAGGGCCAGCCAGGAGGAAATCTTGAATTGGAAGGACGAAGATGGTAACACAGTGTTCCACATAGCTACGTCTACAAATCAAACTGAGGTATATAATATATTACACTTCCTTTTTCCCTATGATGCAGATTTCATATATCAATTTTCAGATCATGATATTTACTAATTGGCTATGTAAAAATTTATAGGTAAGTTCCTCTGTCATGCTTTTAGTCGCCATTTTTGACCAAGAGGCTTAGCTTCTATCCTTTAGTCATTGTAGACTTCCATGACACTAAGGTTTCTTTAAGAAACTCTGTAGTTGATTCAAGAAATCTCTTTATTTTTATTTCACTCTGTGTTTGGCCAGATCTTGCTGGTGTTATGATTCTTCTATGACCTGTTTGGAATCTTTTAACGTCGCATTGTTCATGTAGAATCTTTTAGCGACTTGATGATAGGTCTTGAAGTTGCTAAGAAAAATCGTGAATGTGAACGCCAAGAACTTGGAGGGTGAAACAGCGATGGACATATTCCAAAGTAACCAAGCTTCTCTTAGCCCTGAAGTCGGCGAAATCCTCGTCAGCTCCAAAGCAAAAGCAGCGCACAAGCTTTCTAGTTCGGCAAGAAATCTTGCCGGCTACTTGAGCCAAGGACTCTCACTTATGGAGAAACGGAACAAACTCATGGGACTGAACAGCTTTATCAGCAACAAACAAGGATCTCACGATAGTAGCGACTTGAGGAGTTCAGTGCTCGTGGTTGCTATACTGATTGCAACGGCAACATACCAAGCTGGTCTCAGTCCTCCAGGCGGCTATTGGCAAGAAGATAACGAAGATCACTTTGCTGGGAAGATGATCTTACGTACCCAATTCGCCGTAATTTTCTATGGTCTCAATGGAATTGCCTTCTTCTCAAGTGTGTCAGTGATTCTCATCCTCATTATCGGACTTCCGATGTGGAAAGTTATGTACGGCGCCACCGCAGCTCTCGGGATTGCTAATTTTACATCCTTTTTGGCTATATTCCAGGGTTCGGGTAGCGTGGGCTGGTATATTGCTCTTGTTGTACTGCTCTTCTCTTACCCATTAGTTACCGCTTTGATAGTATTTGTCCCTTTTGTAGCATTCTTACGCAATGAATGCAGCCGCCGTCGAGTGGACTCCCCTACCAGGTATTTCAGCTCATGCCGAGAGCTAACCTGGTGAAAGGCTTTTGCCGTTATTGGGAAACCTAGTATTGCTTCCTTGTTGTACGATTCATTACATATATATCATAAGGAGCTCCTGCACTATATTGTAACACAAACTTCTACGAACAAAGAGTTTCCGTTAGTGGCGGAGGATGTTTCTCTTACAGGACCAACTGTATAACTCATCACCAATAAAAATCGAAAACATTATCGCAAATGTCTCAGTCGAACCCTGAGCCGCGAAATGTTAGCGGAACTACTCTGGCAAGTGAAATGACGAGGAAAAATTCTTCAATATACCTTTATAATATTTCCTTTTATGATATATATTTTTAGGGAAAATGACATTTTCCTACACCGATTTTGCAAAATGTGACATTTTCCTACACGAATTTTTAATTTGACAAAAAACTACATCAAATTAATTAGTCGCAAAATCCGTCGCAAATTTGCGACGGAATACGACGGAAATGTTGTCGTCGCAGAACCAAACATTATTTGCGACAGAAATTTTAAAATTGCGGATTTGCGACAGATTTACGACAGAAATTTCTGTCGCAAATATTAATTATATTTATTTTTAAATTAAAGTTATTTATTTTTGGAATTTGCGACAGATTTGCGACAGAAATTTCTGTCGCAAATCATAATTTCATTTTTTTATTATTTTCGATGAAAATTTTCAAATTTTCGCGGTTTATTTTTTGTTTTTCGACGGATTTGCGACAGAAATTTCTGTCGCAAATCTAAATTTTATTTTTTTCCGCTATTTTCGATGAAAAATTTTAAATTTTCGCGGTTTATTTTTCGTTTTGCGACGGGTTGCGACTGCAATATCCGTCGCAACACTTAATAAAAACTGCGACTTCGTCTTTCTCCTCCAGACTTCGAATTTTTTTTAAAAAAAATCTTAATCTTCTCCAATCTTCTCCAACAAATTATTTTTCTTCAAAATTCACCAAGGTATGTATATATATATCGTGTATATGGATTTGTATATGTATGTGTTGTGTATATATATATATAAATGTGAATATGTATGTATGTGTATGTGTGTGTGTTTATGTATGTGTGTTGTGTATGTATGTGAATGTGAATATGAATGTGAATGTGTATGCATATATATATAAATGTTTATGTGTGTTTATGTGGTGTATGTGAATATATATATATAT